AGAAGAAGTTGACTGATATTGTCCATCACCGAACTCGATCTAAGTTTCACCAAAAAATTATCTTGTACCAAGTTTGATACAAATCAGGTACTCCCTTTGAGAGTATCATAGCCAGCTAGACAGACTAGAGCGACTCCAAATGTCCTGAAACAGAGACCTAGGATGTATAACCATTATTTCGTTGAGGCACCTTTTTGGCCGTATCAATTGATACATACCCTCTGTAGCCATATGGCTTCGAGTATAATTATGGTAGATGTTTAACCCTGCTATATTGGAAAATTATTAAGAATATTGTATATATATGTGCTCATTTTGCTAAAACCCTATCTCAAGGTATTCCCAGATATCCAGCAATTAGATGATTTTAATTACAATTTTCAAATTTTGGTATTTGATGTTCTTAATGCGATCCAAACACTTTCCGATATTCTGTATTCTGATGATGTAAAAAAAAATCTCTCTACGGAATTGTTAAAAATTCGTTACTTTGAGTTTGTAATGTGAAGACTGGAAAAATTTTCTACCCAACCGACTTTTTTACTTTTTAATATTTTTAAATGATCGTACAATTCGCAGAGCTTTATAGTCATGTTGTTTGTGGAATTTTTTGAACATCCGAAAATGTATGAATAACTTCATAATTTTCTCGGTGATTTACAATGATTTTCAGGAATGCTTGGAACATTGCGACACATAAGAGTTCTTTGAGTAAACTTCATGTTTAAAATGCTTTCGTGCGACCTAAAGACAAGACGAAAAGACACAGCTGAATTCGTCAGAAACGGCATAATGCCGGATGAAAGAAAATGATAAGAGAATGTAGACAGTTTGCATTCTGCATACAAACTCCCGCATACATATACACATATACTTATTTAAATATTAATATTTATGTTTTGTTAACACCCTCCACCATAGTATGGAGGGTATATTAAGTTTGTCATTTCGTTTGTAATACCTCGAAATATACATTTCAGACCCCACAAAGTATATATATTCTTGATCAGCATAAAATTCTATGTTGATTGAACAATGTCCGCCCGACTATCCGTCTGTACTTTTGTCCGTCTGTGGCTGTAAGTTGATAAAAATGTACATTATGTCTGCAGGACTTTTAGTATTGAAAACGGGCCATGTAGGTCCACATCCTCGTATAGCCCCCATATAACGGTACCCCCCGATATTCGGTATTTTGATGATTTTAGCGACATTATTTACCGAAATTGTTTCAAATTTGGTATTTGAAGTTCGTAATGGATACTACACCCTAAAACAGAAAATGGGCCATATAGGTCCACATCTTCGTATAGCCACCATATAACGGTACCCCCCGATATTCGGTATTTGATGATTTTAGCGACATTATTTACCGGAATTGTTTCAAATTTGGTATTTGAAGATCGTAATGGATACTACACCCTAAGACAGAAAATGGGCCATATAGGTCCACGTCTTCGTATAGCCCCCATATAACGGTACCCCCCGATATTCGGTATTTGATGATTTTAGCGACATTATTTACCGGAATTGTTTCAAATTTGGTATTTGAAGTTCGTAACGGATACTACACCCTAAAACAGAAAATGGGCCATATAGGTCCACGTCTTCGTATAGCCCCCGACATTCGTTATTTGATGATTTTAGCGACATTATTTACCGGAATTGTTTCAAATTTCTCATTTGAAGTTCGTAATGGATATTACAGCCTGTGACAGAAAATTGTCCGTGCAGGTCCACGGCTTCGTATAGCCCCCATACAACGGTAACCCCGATATATGATATTATGATGATTTTAGCGACATAATTTACCGGAACTATTTCAAATATAATACGGCTACATTCGGATTTTTAAGATTTTAACAGAATTTTTAATGGTATTTATTTTTTGAAAATTGCCAAATTTGCAGCAAATGGTGGAGGGTATTCAAAGTTCGGCCCGGTCGAACTTACAGCTTTTTTACTTGTTTAGTTTAAAAATGATCATAAAGTGATGGTATATAGCACATATTTTTGGGAGAGTCCAATTTCATGCCACCTTGAAGAAAATTAATTTTTACAAGTATCAAGTAAAAAAGCAGATAAGCTCCGCCGGGCCGAACTTTTAATACCCTCGGCAATTTGAAAGGAATTTGCAAAATAAAAAAAAAAACAACAATAGAGAATGGTCACTCTACACCATTCCCGTAACAAAAAATTTTATATTGGGAATTTATGTGAAGTAGGAACTATATCTAACTTAGAATCGATTTTCTACACATGTGGCGGAGGATTTTGAATTAAATTTGGGCCAATATTACATATATTGTGGGCAATAACCGTAACATCGAATGAAGATGTATATGAAAGTTATATATAAATCTGAACCGATCTCGATACAATTTGTCAGAGGCGTTTTCGAGCTGTGTAAGATGTCCCGTATCAAATATCATGGTTGGGAGTGCAAATAACGCATGTGGGAGACTTAAAACCACAAATCGGATAAAACATATATTTGGGGAATATAGCTATTTGGGGAATATAGCTATATAGCTATATTCATCTCGATAAAACTTGGCAGAGGTATTTGTGGTCTATATCTGATGTCTGGTATCAAATATTATTCGTGTGAATTGCATATTACGAATGTGAGGAAATTAAACACCAAATCGGATGAAACATATATATAGGTGCAATAGCTATATCTAAAGCGATTTTCTTACAAATGTTATGTACTTGCTTCTAGACTTAATTCGGTCAGATGTGACAAAATTCCGGTCATTTGGACTGATATTGGCCATTTGGTGAACAATTTAACCGAAATCGGTTGAAGATATACAGGGGTGAGACGAACAACTGCAACCAAATTTTTATACTGCTGTCATTTCTAAGCCACTCGTCCGACAGTTGGTAAAATTATTCCAGTGACAGCTCAATATATTGTTTACAAGCGTACAAAAGCATTTTGGTGAGCATTTTTCAGAAAAAAAGTTATTCGTAGTGGAATTCAAGCGTGATGGTGTGATTTCTTTATATTCGGCTGGAAAAGCACAAGTGGCTATCGTCAGAGCACTCCAGCATTTAAATGTGAATAAATCTTTTGTGTCTCGTACCATCGCTTGTTACCGTGATACTGGTAGCGTAGCCCGACGTCAGGGAAATGGACGGAAGGAAACAGCAACATCAGCATCAGAAATGGTTCGAAAAGTAACGAAGCGACGAAGCGAAACCCGCTTTGTAATGGCCGAAAAATGGCTCGTGAGCTGAACATTTTGCAATATTCCATTCACCAAATATTGAAAAATGAGCTCGGGGTAAAGCCAATGAAATTCCAAAAAGTGCAAGAACTTACACCGCAACAGAAAGAAAATAAACTCAAAAGAGCTAAAGAGTTGCTTGGCTTGGCCGAAAGTTGTGAACTGCCGAATTTGGTTTTCTCCGATGAAACAACATTCGTTGTCCAGCAGTTTGTAAAACAAACAAAGTGATCGTGTTTACTTGCCAAAGAGGTCAGCTGGAAATGTGCACCTTCCGTTGGCCACCAGAAATCAAGTGCCGGCCATGGTGATGGTGTGGGCCACCATAACAGCCGATGATCGCTCTCCGCTCGTATTAAGAGAACACGTGGCATCAGAGTAAATGCCGAATATTATAGCGAAAATATTCTCGAGGGTGTATTAAAGCCTTGGACAGGCAAACATTTTGGCCGCAGACCTTGGACATTCCTTGGACAGGACTCAGCACCATCGCACTTAGCAGCGCCACCACTTTTGGGTTACAATTTAGGTTCCTCGCTTCATTTCCAGCGCACAATGGCCACCAAAATCCCCGGATACCAATCCGTTGGACTATTGTGTCTGGAGTATTTTGGAAAGCAAGGGTGGCACTAAAAAATACCAAAGGGTCGATCACCTCAAGCAAGCGCTTCGCCGGGAATGGGCCAAAATACCGCAGAGCAACATTCGGGCAGCGTGTGACGGTTTCATTGGCTATTTGAAGGTCATAATTCGTGCCAAAGGTGTACAATTCAAACAAATCTAAACTTATTCTAAAAATTAATGTTATTTCCGACATTTTTGCTTTCATTCAATAAAAATAAAAAAAATGTAAAAATTATGGCGTTTGACTTTGTTGCAGTGTTTGTTTTATCTCACCCTGGATATGGATAAAGCTCAGTTTTGTCTAAATTTGAACCGATTCTCACCAATTTCAATAGGGTTCGTCCTTGGTCCAAACAGGTATTGGTTGGAAAATTTCATATCAATCGAATATTAAATGCATTTGCATTTTGTTCACAAAAATACATGGCCGGACGGAAAGGCAAACAGACTGACATGCATAAATCGACTCAGAAAGTGATAACTATGTATCTATCTCGCTTCCTTCTCCATGTTACAAACAAATGCGCAAAGACATAATACCCTTACCACTATGTGGTGTAGGGTATAAAAATCTGATGAAAATACATAATTAAAATATCAAGGATACTGTGTTTTACTTTGTATTTGCCCAAGGTCAATGACGATGACTCATTTTTAAGGCAGAACGAATTTCTGTTGAGCACTCCATTAAAGTATTGGTCAAACCGCAAAAATTAATTAATAAAATGGTAAATTATTTTAATACATCCTTTTTACTAGCAGATGAAGCAGCATGGATATATGCGGATAATCGGGCGATTGTTTGTCACACAAAGTAGGAAATATAGATCTTGAATAAAATAAAAAAATAATACAAAACAAAAGCGTCGATCAATAAAAAACGATTAAATAGAACGACACTTTAATAGACAAACCGCAAAAGCTATTTGTTGCGATTTTTGCTGATGTGGCTTGCACCCACCCATGAGCGCATTCAATAAATGATATAAAATATGTGTTTTTAAATTTAAATCCGATTTTCTGAGAATCCAATAGTTCAGATGAATACTGAGCTAACAATAAATAATTACAAGAATATGTTTATTTTAGTAAATTTTCTACTAAATTATCTTAATTTGAAATACATATGTATCGACTCACCGCTTGTTGTTCTAATCGTGGAGGAGTTTTTGAAGCTGGCTGCCAATCGTCTCTGCTGTAAAATAAAACAATATATATGTCATATTATTTTAAATAGCTAATAGAATATTTTTTACATAAAAAACGCACAGGGACAGATCGAAGATAGTCGAAGTTAATAAAATGTGAAAAATTTTACTCACTTTGTAAAGAAGGCGCAAAACCGCAAAGTTTTCAATTTTCATAATTCCGAATAGTGTTACTTTGACATAGGAGAAAAGTAGAATTTCAAAGATAAATCTCTATTATTCGTCTAGTATAATTTGTATTGAAGGTATTACCCACTTGGGATCTGCATTGGAACTGGGGATATAGCATCAGAATCGGAGGTACCTCTAAAAAATTTAATTTTTGTAGGCACATATCTATTGACCGGTTATTGGAATTTGTGACGGAATTAGGTATAACAAGTGAAAAATTTGAAACTTGAAATAAACAGTGAACAATGTAGCTAAAATCATCAAAATATCGTATATAGGGAGATACCGTTATATCGGAGCTGTGCGAAGACCTGCACCTGCATAGACAATTTTCTGTCACAAGCTGCAGCATCCATTACGAACTTCAAATACCACATCTCAAACAATTTAGATTGGTATTGTACCTAAAATCGTCAAAATACCGAATATAGGGAAGTACCGTTATATGGGGGCTATACGAAGACGTGGACTTGCACAGACAATTTTCTGTCTTAGGGTGAAGTATCTATTTCAAACTTCAAATACCAAATTTGAAACAATTCCGTTAAATAATGTCGCTAAAAATCATCAAAATACCGAATATCGGGAGGTACCGTTATATGGGGGCTATACGATGGCGTGAACCTGCACAGACTATTTTCTGTCATAGGGTGTAGTATCCATTTCGAACTTCAAATACAAAATTTGAAACAATTCCGTTAAATAATGTCGCTAAAATCATCAAAATACCGAATATTGGGAGGTACCGTTATATGAGGGCTATACGAAGACATGGACTTGCACAGACAATTTTCTGTCTTAGGGTGAAGTATATATTTCAAACTTCAAATACCAACTTTGAAACAATTCCGTTAAATAATGTCGCTAAAATCATCAAAATACCGAATATTGGGAGGTACCGTTATATGAGGGCTATACGAAGACCTGCATAGACAATTTTCAGTCACAAGCTGTAGCATCCATTACGAACTTCAAATACCACATCTCAAACAATTTAGATGGGTATTGTACCTAAAATCGTCAAAATACCGAACATAGGGAGTTACTGATATATGGGGCCTATACGAAGACCTGGACCTGTATAGACAATTTTCTGTCACAGACTGTAGTTCTCATAACGAACTCCAAATACGTAATTTGAAACAATTCTGGTGAATAATGACGCTAAAATCATCAAAATACCGAATATTGGGAGGTACCGTTATATGAGGGCTATACGAACACGTGGACTTGCACAGACAATTTTCTGTCTTAGGATGTAGTATCCATTTCGAACTTCAAATTCCAAATTTGAAACAATTTCGTTAAATAATGTCGCTAAAATCATCAAAATACCGAATATTGGGAGGTACCGTTATATGAGGGCTATACGAAGACGTGGACTTGCACAGACTATTTTCTGTCTTAGGGTGAAGTATCTATTTCAAACTTCAAATACCAACTTTGAAACAATTCCGTTAAATAATGTCGCTAAAAATCATCAAAATACCGAATATCGGGAGGTACCGTTATATGGGGTTATATGAAAACGTGGACCTACATGGCCGATTTACGAACCTAACCTGCCTATTGGAAAAATAAACATGTGTGCCAAATTTTAGCCATCTATCTCAATTCGTTCGAAAGATAGCGTGATTACAACAGACAGACGGACAGACAGACGGACGGACGTCGCTAAATCGACTTAGAATTTTACGCTGATCCAGAATATAAACATTTTCCCTGGTTTTTCGACCTTTTGGATTGTTAATAAGAACAATTGTTCTTACTGATCAAGAATATATATACTTTGTTGGGTCTGACATGAGTATTTCGAGGAGTTACAAACGGAATGACAAAGTTAATATACCCTCCATAGTATGGTGGAGGGTAAAAAAATAAATGTGCTAAATTGTATTGATATCGCTTCACATTTGGATATAGCTCCCAAATATATTTTCAGTACCGAAAGTTCTCATACATATTTTCGGCCAATTTCACATATTTCATGCAACAAACACATGTCACATCTCCAATTTTAATGAAATTTGGAAAGTGTAACGGAATTTGGTGTAAAAATTATATTTAAATGGGTTGAGATTTGGATATAGCTCCCATATATATTTTCGGTCAATTTTACATACTAGATGCACCAAACTCGTAATGTTTTGTCCGATTCCAATGAAATTAGGAAAGGGTGACGGAATTTGGTACAAAAGCAAATTGGTCAAATTAAGCTGAAATCGGTTGTGGTTTCATTTATTTGATTCAACAAACAAGTTATATATATTAAATTTAAATGCAATATGGAATGTGTCGCGGAATTTGGTCTACAAGTAAATAATTTGTCAAATTATATTGAAATGGGTTCAGATTTGCCTTTGCAATGGTATTAGGCTAACTGTAAAAAAATTACACAACAATTTAATTGAGGCTACGAATATTACGGGGAAGTATGTAGGTAGACTTGTATTGCTACATGGAATCCCCATAATAGCCACAGCAATTCAATTGAACTTTAAAAGATTGCAGCTACCACCATTGTGAAGGATCTGAATAATTTCAAAAAAAAAATCCGCCGAAAAAGACTAAACCCGTTATATGGGGGATATACGAAGAAGTGGACCTGTATAATTAAGTTTTTGTCATAGGCTGTAGTATCGATTTCGAAATTCAAATACGAAATTTGAAACAATTCCATTGAATAATGTCGCCAATATCATTAAATATCAAACAATTTAATGTTGCTAATATCATTAAAATACCGAATAAATGGAGGTACAGTTATATGTGGGCTGTACGAAGACGTGGACCTACATAAACAATTTTCTGACTTAGGTTGTAGTACTCATTACGACTTTAAATAGGAAATTTAAAACAATTCCTGTCAAAAATGTCGCTTAAATCATCAAAATATCGAATATCAGGGAGTACCGTTATATGGGGGCTATACGATATCGTGGAGTTCTCTTCCAGGGGGCAAAGTACTCAGAAGGAACTCCTTGTCTTGAATTTAAGACAATTCCATTAAAAAATACCGAAGATCGGGACGTACTGTTATATGGGGGCTATCGTGGACCGATATAGCCCATCTACGAACTTGACCTGCCGGCACACAAAATACCGATCTGTGCAAAATGTTTGCATCTTATCTTAATTCGTTTTGACTCTAGCGTGATTACAAAAGATGGACGGACAAACAGGGCTAAATCGTCGGATCAAGAATATATATACTTTGTTAGGTCTAAAATTACTATTTCGATGAGTTACAAACGGAATGACGAACTTAATATACCCTCCATACTATGGATGGTGGAGGGTCTAATAAATGTACTAAACTTGTAAAATGTACTAAACTTGTAACATACTAAATTAGTGCTTAAAATTTGAAATTAGAGTCGCATTTATGTGTAGCCTGGACATATTGAGGTGGTTTAGGAAATGTGTACTATTATAATTGTATGAAAAGTACTGAATGACACTAGATCTGGTATTAGGTGAAGGAATGGAGACTAAATTTTGAAAATTAATATTTAGATTACTGATGGTATCTTAGGTTGTGATTCGTAGTTAGGTTAAGAAATATGTCTTATAATTTTACTAAAAGTGTTAAATATACTTAATTTGGTATTGAATGGAGGGATATGGCGGGAATTCTGAAAATTTGATATTGAGGTCTCTGTTGGTATCTGGAATTGAGATATGGAGTTGATTTTGGAAACGAAAAGTACTTTATTGTACTATATTTGGTACAATTTGATATTGGTAGCGGTAGTGTAGCGGTAGAGATAAAATTCTGAAATGTGTTATTTAGATAACTGTTGGTATCTGGGATTGAGATATTGAGGTGTTTTTGGAAAATATGTTCCACAATTCTTGGAAAAGTACTAAATAGTATTAAATTTGTTATTGTATGATGGAATAGAGCTGAAATCCCGAAATCTGATTTTAAGGTCTCTGTCGGTATGCGGAAAATGAAATATGAAGGTGGTTTTTGGAAATGTGCACTATAATTGTACAAAAAGTACTAAAGTATTAAAAGTACTTTAAAGTGCTAGTACTTAGTGCTAGTTTGGTATTGAGTGAAAGGATAGAGCTGGAATGCTAGATTTGGATATGTGTACAATAATTGTACTAAATGGTACTACAATTGCACTAAATTAGTAGTGGGGGAAATTACAGAGCTAAAATTCTGAAGTTTGTTATTTAGATAACTGTTGATTATATTGAGGTTATTTTACAAATGCGTGATATAACGGTTCGAAAATTAAAAAATGATACTAATTTTGGATCATTCTTGATATGTAGGAGGGAAAATATAGATTATTTTGGATATGCGTACAAAATGCTACTAAATTTGGTATTGGGTAAGTGAATTGTACTGAAGGTTTTAAATTAAGCATTGACATATGGAGACGCAGAAATTGTTTTGGACAGAAAAAAATGACATGGTCCAATGCTTGGCAATCTCAAATATCCCGCTTGGTTAACTTTAAACTGAGAAATGTTGAAGACTTTTGGCTGTAAACGTTAAACATTTTCCTATTATTCTTTTTGAAAAAGGAAAAAATTGAATAATACATAAAACTTTGAAAATCAGAAAATTTAGTACGATATATAAAGTTCTGAATCACAAATTTTGCCAAACTAAACAAATTGTGTATTTTGGGTAATAAAAAGCCGCAAGACTAACTTTTGGAACGAGTATAAAATTGTAAGGTGAAATTTTCGCTGACGAAGTAGCGGGCACTTGCTGGTACTAAATAAAAACAATTAAAAAAACAGCTAAATTCGGTCGGGCCGAACTTTTAATACCCTCCACCTTAGGGTAATGGAAACTTTAGAACCAATTATGACCCACAAATACCAATTTTTAGACATATTCGTGGGAAAATGTGGCAAAAATCATCAAAATACCGAATATCGGAAGGTACCACTATATGGGGCTATACAAAAACGTGGACTAATGCATACAATGTACAACTAATTCCAATTTTTAGACAAATCCGTGAAGAAATGTGACAAAAACCATCAACATACCGAATATCGGGAGATACCGTTATATGGGGGCTATACCAAAGCGTGGACCTATACATACAATGTTTCGCCACACGAACTAGGACCCATTATGACCTACAAATACCAATTCTCAGACAAATCCGTGAAAAAATGTGACAAAAATCATCAAAATATCGAATATCAGGAGGTACCGCTATATGGGGGCTATACCAAAACGTGGACTTATACATGCAATGTTTCGCCACCGGAGCTAGATCTCACTATGACCAACAAATACCAATTTTTAGACAAATCCATAAAAAATGCAGCAAAAATAATCAAAATACCGAATATCGGGAGGTACCGTTATATGGGGACTATACCAAAACGTGAACCGATATATGTCAGTTTCAGTACCAACCATCCTAGACACAATACAAATTATTCTGCTAAATGTTGACGCTCTATGTCAAGTAATGTGGTCTGTATCGTGATTTCAACAGACAGACGGACAGACAGACGGACATCGTTAAATCGACTTAGAATTTTATGCTGATTATGAATATATATACATTATGGGGTCTACGACGAATATTTAGACATGTTACAAACGGAATGACAAAGATAATATAGCCTCCTTTCCAAGGTGGAGGGTATAATAATAGCTAAATTCGGTCGGGCCGATCTTTTAATACCTTCCACCATTTGGCAGAAATTTGGAAATTTAAAAAAAAATCAAGTCGGAAATTATCGCTGAAATGGAAACCGTTATATGTTAGCTAAACGAAAACGAGGCCCTACATAAGTATTTTTTTTAATTCGTCACAGGCTGTAGTATCGATTCCGAGCCTCAAATACAAAATTCGGAAATCCGGGTTAAAATTGTACTAAAACATCAAAAAAAAAAAACCTTAAACCAAAACGTCGTCCGCTATAGCCCATTTTTAATTCCAACAATTCTACGGACCCAAAATACCAATTTTGTGCGAATCTTGTAAATCTCAATATTTGCATCAGTTCTAGGTCAGGTGCGAAATTAGACAATATCGGTCCACTCCAATATGTACCTTCCACACAAAGGGTCAACATTTGTAATAATTATAACTCTTATAAAATTGTGAAATAAGCATCCGATTCTCCTCAATTTTCGCACATCACAGTATTTTTACTAACAACATATCTGATGTGAAGATGAAATGTATCGGTCCATTGTTTCTGGTATGTCCCAAACAAAAGGTCGATATTTTCAAAAAAAAATATATTTTACTGCACAAAAATAGAAAGGATAATCCGATTTTGCTCCAACTTTGCATATACTAATATTTGCATCAGTGCTAGATCAGAGGCGAAAATGGACAATATCGGCCACTCCATCGAGTACCTCCTCCAGAAAAGGTCAACATTTTGAATAATTATAGCTCTTATAAGATCTGATGTAAGAGTCCGATTGTGTAGAGTATTTTTACTAACAAAAGGTCTGGTGTGAAGATGGAATATATCGGTTCACTCCTTCTGGTACTTCCACCACAAAGGGCCAAAATTTTGAAAAATTATAGCTCATATAAAATCTGATGTAAGAGTCCGATTGTCTTCAAATAACACACATCACACTATTTTTATTAACCCAAAGTCTGGTGTGAAGATATCGGAATATATCGGATTACAAAGGGTCAACATTTTGAATATCCATCGCGAAATTCTTTTCTCTTCATACTTCACACATCCTATTATTCCTACTAACCCAAGATATACTGTTAAGATGGTATATATCGGTCAATACTTTTATCTGCAATAACTTGTGAAACAAGTCAGCGATTCTTTGCAACTTGGGATACTTCGGTCGATTATCACGACCATCTCACGCACATTTCAACATTTTCTAAAAATTATCACATATCTCATACAAAGTGAAGGAAGTAACCCATATGGTCCAATCCTGCCACGTGACAATATTTATATATCATATTAATTTAGGCCCGATACGAAATGGACAATATTGGCCCATTCCTTTGGAACCTACTCCGTAAAGGGTCAACAGGGTCAATAATCCTAACAGAAGTTAAAATACATTTAAATAATCGAACATTGGCTGAGGGTATACATCTGTCGGCAAAACCGACTGATACTTTTTAATTTCTTTTAAGACTTTTCGATACTTCGCGATTTATAGAACTCTATTAAATTTTTTTTCAGATGTACATATATACCTGACAACACAGGCATGTTCGCAAATGTATAAACTTACCCATCCATGCGTTGAATGTACGACACCTGTGCCCTGCTATCGTGAATGCGCACTTGATCCGGTGTTATCTCCTCCAGAAACATGTTGCGTTGTGGGGGCATTGTTTGAAAGCTTTCATCGTTGTCGAAATAAATGGGGCTTAATGCGCGACATGCACCACTCAAAAGCTCATCAATGTTTTGGTGGCGGGAAATGAAAACTTTGTCATTCTTTGAACGCAAATCATTTTGGTTGTAGCGGTGGTGCTGGTTGTAGTCATGGCTAGGTGGTGTTTGTCTCTGATGCGTCGGCTGTTGGTGGTGGTATTGTTGGGACTGGGGCATTGTTGATGATTGTAGATGTTGTTGTTCTGGCTGAGCATTGTTTAGATTACTTTCAGGTGTAATAGTCGTCAATTGTGGGTCAGCAGCGAGAACATCAGTGGCACCTGAAATTGGCATTAGATTCATTGCATCCACTGTCGTATTGTTTGCCGTGGTTGGTTGGGGTGGTGTTTGTTGAACTTTTGTCATTGGAATGTTATCGTAGGGGGATGAGCAATACGGTTCATTGTTTTGCTCGATGGGTTCTCCTTCATCGTGTACCGGGCTGGCACATTGACCCAAAGGTGGTGGCCGCTCTGAATATTCGAAATTAAATGAATTACTCAGTTCGGTCTGTGAGTCAGCACGATTCGGGGGCAAGAATGTTGGCTGCTCATCATGTGGGTCATTGTCATCATCGGTGTTTAGTTCATATGAATGTGGGTAATTAGGGTCTGCTATTCCAGCAGCGGTAATTTGGAAAATATCCTCGCTAGCCTGTTGTTGATATTGCCTATTGCGTTCTTGAAGCCAACGTTCTTTTTGTTCTTCCAGCGATTGTTGTTGGGAGAAGATTCTTTTCGTGGGACCTTCAGTGTAGCTGCCAACCTGTGGCCAAACTGGTTCAGCTTCAGTTTCGTTAGACTGCTCCTCCTCGACATGGGAAAATCCTTGTTTTATGGGACTTTGACTCGTTCTTCTGCCGGGTGACCAGATATGCCCTTGTTCTTTTGTTGGTGTACCCGGCTGTCTTTGATCGGGTCTGCTGCGATTTCTTGCTTCCTCTTCCAATTCCCGAGATCTGCTGCGAGTTTTTCCTCTCTCCTGGGAATCTTGTTGCCAACAGTGTTCCTCTTCTTGATCCGAATCTAATCTGGATAAATTAAATAATTTTTTCTTTGGACTTTTTTGTCGTTGCAACTCCTGTTTAGCGGGGCTTGGGTTTTCTCTCAAACATTCGGAGTCTTGAGAGCTACTGCGTTTCTTGTCTTTTTCGGGACTTTCTTCTAACCACCATGCTTTTTCGCCAGATTCCACTCGTGGTATGTTGAATAGTTTTTTGATGTTGGCATTTTGGGGAGGTGATACCGAGGGTAAATTATGTCTTTCTTGGTCAGATTTGTCGGAATTATTTTGTACTACATCTTGAGAATTACTGCGCTGATCTCTTCCCTCTGAGCTCTCTTCTAACCACCATGCCTTCTCGCCCGACTCCACTCGCGGAAGATTGAAAAGTTTTTTAATGGTGGAATTCTGTGGTGCCATTTCCGTTTTCCCAACTGGTTCCCGTTTCTGAGACTGTTTACTATGTTGACTCTCTTTGTCTGAATTTTCATTTTGCCACCAAGCCTTCTCGCCCGATTCTACTCGAGGAATGTTGAAAAGCTTCTTGGTCGGTCCTGTCATCCACCATTTTTTGGGTTCGGTACTCATACTACTACTGCTACTGGTGGTAGCCGAGGAAGTTTCCGCTTCTACGGAGGGTTTGTGTACATCCTGTGAAGTTTCGACATTACCCTGCTGCTCCTCATCCTCCTGCTGCCACCATGGTGCCTCCTGGGATTCCACACGACATATTTTCAGCTGAATGGTTCCATTTTGTATAGCCGATGAGACGGGTGGTGGTGTTGGGAGTTTATCTTTGGGTAACTCCTCTGCCTTGGCATTTGTATCATCGTCATCCTCATCATTCCACCAGTCCGTCTCAGGGGTTAGGCGACTGCGTGGAAATGGTCGGGTTTCACTATCGGTTATTTCCTGCTGGTCATGGTAGTATGGCTGCTTCGTTTTGTAATCTAAATCACTAAATGAGATATTTTTGTCGTTTTGATATTCGTTCGCATTCGGATCGTTGGTGTCGTCTGTCGTCTCCCACCAGCCAGGTTCATGGGACCCGGTGCCCTGTCCATTATACACATCGGTGGCTGTGGCATTTTCTTCATCATCCTTGTCCAAATCATCGGCCATGGTGGTTTCATCATCGTTACGCAACCACCAGGCTGCCTCGTCGGAGTCAACATGTCTGACCTTGAAACGCATTTCATCTTTGAAACTACAGTCCAAGGCCGAAGAGGTGTCGATTTGCTGACTTGTATCCTGCCACCAACTGGGCTCCTCTGAATCCGTACCTCCCGTGGAGGTGGTACCGGTTGTTGTGACCGCACATGAATCCGATTGCTGTTCGGTGGGCATTTTTGTTGCTTGTGGTTTTTTTGTGGAAGTACCCTTGCCACTGGATGCAGCTGCCGTGGAGGATTTCGATTTTGTTTTGGATTTCGAAGTCGCGGACGCGGAAGATTTTGTTGCGGATGATTTTGAAATGTGCGTGGACCGTTGTTCACTTGCCGAATTTTCTCTAGTATATTGAACTGCGGGACTGTTACGATTACTGGCACTTGTGCTCGCGCTATCGTTCGTCGATGTCGCTGGTATTGGGGATTTCGATGTTTTCGTTTCGTTCGCTCGTAATAAACTAATGCTCTTTTTTGAGGATTTCGATGAACCCACATCTAAATCGGTAGACGTTCCCCCACCACCGCTACCACTACCCCCACCACCTGAGGTCTCGGTACTCTCAAGGTATATTTGATCGTCGCTATTGGCATTTTTCTGTTGGGCAACGAAAAAGTTCGAAACAGAAGACAGTTTTTTCAAACGTCGTAGTGGGTCTTTGTCGGTGCGCGATGAGGTGGAGGCGGATTTCTTTAGCGGAGATGATTCAGTTTTCTTCTCAGACATAGTTGGCGTGCCAATTGCTTTTGGCTGTGGCAATGAACGTTTGCTGACTGATGACGTAGCAGCCGAACTTTGATTGTCGGAATTGTTTGCACTGCTGCTAAGGGTTGTGGTGGTCGTGGTGCTCCTTCCTTTGGCTGGTGCCACTGCATCCTTCACAACCTTCTTTTTGACAATTTTCTTGTGTGGCTTTTTAACTTCGGGCGCTGAACTTTCAGTGCCACTGGAAGATGATGTGGCAGCGGTGAGGAGGATTTTATTGGAACGCATTGCCAGCGGAGATGCCGGTAATGGAGATTTTGCCGGCTTAATACTGGTGTTACTATTTTGTCGGCTTAGCGGCGAGGGTGGGGTTCGACTGCCCAAGGGTTTACTGAGACAGCGAGGCCTCAATTTACTATCACTCGCCAGGTTACGTGTTCTTGCCGAGCGATTGGAGGCAATGCTAATCTCAGAACAGGCACTGGGTGATCGTTCCAATCGCTGTATGGCCTGTAGAGCTCCATTGAGGGCATCTATGGTATTAAAATCGGAATCAGTTCCGGTACTGGGGGTGCGTGATTTGCGTGTCCGATCAGTGGGTCCAACATTCAGGGAAGATTTGCGGAAATCTTTATTGGGCAACCTTGAAGGGCCTGGACTCAACGAACTGGGTGAGGGTGATTTAAAGGGGGATTCTGCTTTGGGTCCCATGGGTGGTTTTTTGGGACTAAGACTTTCCACTGACGATTGTCGTGACTTGAGCCTTCCCACTCGAGGGGGAGAAAGTTTTGATTTTGTTGTTACTGTTGTTGTGGCAGTTTTGGTTGTTCTGCAGGGACTACTACTTGAGGTGGTCGAGTCCTCTCTTCGGCTATCATTTGCCGAGAGAGAATTTGATTTTGAGGTGGTCGAAATGGGACTGCTACTGCTGTAACGCAGATTGGAGGGTGAGCGTCGTTCTCCTGCCGAACTAAATGGCGACAGACGACTGCCATAGGCATAACGGCTAACTTTGGTATTATCTTCAGATTGCATTTCCTTTTCCAGCATTTTCCTTTTTGAAGATGAGCGAATAATGGTTTTTTCAATGGTTATGGCCAAACTATGCGTGGAACGACTGGTACATTGGCTGCCCGGAGGATTGGGAGATGTACCACGGGTACATACTGTGATGGTTAAAAATGGTTCTTTTGGTGGATGGGTGGCTTCAGGTTCACCATCTTCCGATGTATCCGATTCCTCTGTGGTCTCAGAATCTTCATCTTCCTCCTTCTCTTCCGGTTGAGAGACCTCGTTTGTTTTTATTGCAATGCTGGATGGTTTTGGAGATTCATGTTTTTCTGGGAGTTGAATTTGAGGTTGAGGTATTGGATGTTCCATTATTTGATAATCTCTGTAAGATGTGGGAGATTGATTTGAGGAGTTCCGCGGCCTGCCTTCTGATGCTAAAGGTTTTTCTTCGGTTTGCCTTAGAGCAGAAGCAGAAGATCGACTGCTATAGCCATAGCTGATATTTGATGAAGAGGCTGGTGTTTGTCTTGTTCCGTAAGTCATGGATTTGTCTGCCAAGGAAGTGGACGATGGTGTTCTCCTTGTACTAGAGTTGCCATATGACAAAGATTTCTCCGCCAATGATGCAGCGGAGGGAGTTCTGGTGGTACTAGAAGTGCCGTAGATCTTGTTTTTCTCAGCCAGTGATGTTGACGATGCAGTTCGCGTAGTGGTACTGGTCTTCTCAGCTATGGATGTGGAGGATGGGGTTCGGGTAGCCGCATAACGACTGCCGTATGACGACGTCGTTGAAGGCGTTGAGGCAGTTGTAGTTGTTTTTGGCACATTCATGCGATAGGAGCTGCCATATTTGTATTTGCTCTCCATGCCAGGGCTGGGATCACGTGACTGGGCCCTCAAAGATCGTATACCTGGACTTGGATCTCGCGATCTCATGCGATTGGTATGCTCCAATGCTGCTGGGCTGGGTTCTCTTGAGTATTTGCCAATGCTACTGGATGTTGAACCATAACGCTTCAGTTGGCTCATCGACTTCATATCGGACGTGGAACTATCGGCCCTCGCCAAAGTCGTGGAAGATGTGACCGAGCTCGCAGAGGGTGTATAACGACTGACGTATGAGCTGGCAGCAGATGTATGGGGGGTATCACGCTTCAGGCGATAAGTTCCCCCCGAAAAAGAAGGACGATAGGCGGTTGGGGATGTAAGGGTAGAGGATGTATAGCGTGATGTAGAGCTTCCAATGTCATCACGTGATGAATACTGCAAAAGAAGAAAAGGGGTATTAGACGAAAAATAAGATATGTCACAGCTTACCGAAGAAGAAGATGTTGCGGAGGATTTGTAGCTGGAGGGTAGGGACGATTTAAATGGAGTCTGAAAGTAAAACGAAAAAAAGAAGTTAAAAAGAAAATTTAAATCCGAACAAACAAAAGATAGTCTAATAAAATTGTTAACAAATTCCAAATGTTTTATAAATATTGATGCCGATGTCAAATTTAAAAATCAACCGAAATCACACATCACCTACTAAACCATAAAACCAGAGACCTTTTTAATTGGCTGCTCAACATTGATTTCGTGTCAGAAACAGTTTCGGAAAACACAAAACGCATTTTTATTTCGCAATCAACTGTCACTTAACTGCCTGCCAGCCAGTCGTTGGCACTTAAACTTGTATCGATCATTGCCGGCTGTGTAGAAGAGGAAAAAGTGCGCCCCAGTGCTTGGATACACAAGGTCCGCATGGCATTTGTCGCCGCTGTGTGAGATTGTCTATTGCGTTTTTCGTTTTCCCCCCTCTGAAAAATCAATCAGATTGCATTTTATTGTCTGCCGCATATCGTTCGCATCACTGTCGCGGTCATACAAGGCACCCCGCCCCCAAATTTGGTATCAATGCTCGTGGGGCAGACATGCTATGAGAAAGAACAAGAATTTCAATACCCTTTCGTCAACTTTTGTATGCCACACTTTGCGGCAAGAGTGTGTGTGCCGTGTCGATTGGCGTTGAAATGTGGGGCTCATCCAATGCAATAACTATCTGGGAAATTTGATTATTTTCTAAAATAGTCTCGGACATGGTTCGATAAAGTCCCTCTTTGACTTTTAGAGTAATGTAGACTCATTTGGGTATATCTTATTCTGTATATCATACTGCTGAAATATATCGACATCAGAAAGAAACTACTTCAGAGAAGAATATAATGTTAAACTTGCCCTGCCATCGGTGGGGGGGTTTGGGGTACATTTAGCTCATACCTATATCTATACCCTATAAATTACTTTAGTACATACATACAAAAGGCAGCGAGACAGTCCATTCCTAGTCCATACATTTTTGTAATTTGTCGGACTGAAATGAGTAAGATCTTATCCACCTGCAGACTGTGGGCCAGGCCAAGTGTAAACTCGACAAAAACAGAATTATGTATTTTCAAAAAGAATACTAAAATTGGTAAAGTAGACGAAACAGTCTTACGAAATAAATCAAATTAGTTCCATTAATGTCAAATATTATACCCCCATCCATATGGCTACAGATTTGATACGGCCAAAATGTGCCTCATCGAAATAAGAGTTGTAGACCCTACGTCTCTTTGGACCAAATCCATTCCAGGACATTTGGAGTCGATCTTGTGATGTCCGTCCGTCTGTCTGGTTGGTGCGCACGATAACTCTCGAAGGGTGTATCCGTTTTGGTCCAAGCTTGGTACATCGTAATATTATTATCAAACTTAGATTGAGTTCGGAGATGGGCAATATTGCTCCATTCCTTCTGGTACCTCCCACACAAAAGCGCGAAATTAGAAAAAAAAACAAGTTAAAAAGTATCAGTCGGTTCTGTTCGATTATTCAAATATATTTTGGCATCTGTTATGAAAATTCAAAGACCCTCTACGGAGTGGTTTCTGAAGGAATGAGCCAATATTATCCCTTTCATATCGATAAATACGATATAAATAATACTACGTGTCAGGTTTGGTCTATATTGGTAACCTCTTCATAAAATCCATATTTATTCTGGTTGAGAGAAATATTTAGATATGGCAAATTGTAAAGAATCGCTGACTTGTTTCGTAAGTTATGAGCGTCTGGTCTCTCAAAATCTTGGACCCCATTTGGGGAGGTACCAAAAGAAATGGTCCGATCTCTACCATCTTTATAACATATCTTGTGTTGATGGGGATATTGAGATCTGCCAAGTCTAAATGGAATCGGATATTTATTTCGAGTTTTTTGAGCTTAATGAATATTTAAAATTTCGACCTTTTGTGGGGGAGGTGCCAGAAGGAGTGGACCGATTTCTTTTATTTTAACACCAGACCTTGGGTTAATAAAAATATTGTGATTATTCCAAATTTTGACCGTTTGTGGGGTTGGCACTTGATGGAGTGAACCGATATTGCTAATTTTCACACCTGACGTAGCACTGACGCAAATATTAGGATTTGCAAACTTGGAGCTGTATCGGATTATCTTTTCTCTTTATTTGCAAAAAAATATTTTTTTGAAAATTTTGACCTTTTGTGGGGGAAGTACCGGAAGGAGTGAACCGATATGTTTCGTCTTAACACCAGACCTTGGGCTGATAAAAAAATATTGGGATGTGTGGAATTTGAAGACAATCGGACTCTTAAATCACATTTTATAAGAGTTGGAATTATTCAAAATTGTGACCGTTTGTGGGGGAGGTAATTGATGAAGTGGACCGATATTGTCCATTTTCGCACGTGACCTAGCATTGATGCAAATATTAGGATGTGCAAAGTTAGAGCACAATCGGCTTATCCTTTCTCTTTCTGTGCAGTAAATTATTTTCTTAGAAAATATTGACACATTGTGGCATGATATATACCCTCTGTAGCCATATGGCTGAGGGTATAAAAAAATATTTTACTGCACAGAAAGAGAACGGATATTTTGATTTTGCTCCGACTTTGCAAATCCTAATACAGGTTTGCCCATATTCGACGGACCCATGGGCCCATTCCAATCGACGAGGCTTGTCCGCAGGCAACATTCTTTGCGTCAATTAAATTTTGTACGGGAACAAATGCAAATCAATGCGAATGATCCGTTGTAAAGTGGACCGAGCAATGCCCAACTGCTGAGAACGGCGTTTTTGGGATATTCTTGGGGACCTCTCAACACTGGCTCGTACGGCAGCGATATTCTCGGCCGATCGCCTTGGTCGACTTTTATATGGCCTCTTCGGATTAGAAAGAGCTTTACCAGTCGAAAATTTTTCGTATAAACGCTTAATGGTGTTCTTAGAAGGCGCACTTCTCACATTTTTTAATGTTTTAAAAGCACGTTGAGTTTTCACAATTGACTTTTTCTGTTGAATGTAAATTTCAACTATTTCGCGTGGCGTGTATTGGCTCATGGTAAAAATCTGTTTGGACTGACGCTTCAAACGCGGTATGTCATTAAGAATTGTTACATCTCTGTCAAAAGCCAGATGGGTCCGTCGAATATGGACAACCCTGTACTTCCATCATTCCTAGGTCAAGTGCGAAAATGGACAATATCAGCCCACTCGAGGTACCCACACAAAAGGGTCAACATTTAATAATTATATAAAATGTGATCTCTAATTGTCTTCAATTTATACACATAACAATATTTTTATTAACTCAAGGCCTGGTGGGGAGATCGGATATATCGGTCAACTTCTTCTGGTACCTCCCCCACAAAGGGTCAAAGTTTTGAATAATCAATACGATTATAAAATCCGAAATTTCCATCAACTTCTCTTCACATTTCACACATAAATTTTGAAAAGTAAAACGCTCAAATTTCACTTATACAGAAAATTTTGCTAACTCAAGATTTATTGTGAAGATGGTATATAGCTGCGAACCCTTTCGAGTACCTCACCCACAAAGGGTCACAATTTTCAATACTTTTATCTTTCATAACTTTCGAAACAAGTCAGGAAATCTTTATAACTTCCTGCATCTAAATATATATTTTTCTCTCAACCAGAAATCTGAGATGAATATGGAATTTATGATTTCGCTTAAAATTGGATATACAGGGTAAGATGGAAAAACTGCAACCAATTTCAGACTGCTGTCATTTCCAAGCCACTCTTCCGACAGCTGTTAAAATTATTCCAGCGACAGCTCATTATATTGTTTACGAACGTAAAAAAGAATTTTCCAAAAAAAAAAAAAAATAAAGCGTGATAGTGTGATTTCTTTATATTTGGCTGGAAAACCACAAGTGGCTATCGTTAGAGCACTCCAGCATTTAAATCTGAATAAATCTTTTGTGTCTCGTACCATCGCTCGTTACCGTGGTACTGATAGCGTAGCCCGTCGTCAAGGAAGGGGATGGAAGAAACCAGCAACATGGGCCAAACTACCGCAGAGCAACATTTGGGCAGCGTGTGACGGTTTCATTGGCCGTTTGAAGGCCATAATTCGTGCCAAAGGTGACCAATTCGAATAAATCTAAACTTATTCTAAAATTTGATGCTGTTTCCGACATTTCTTGCTTTCATTCAATAAAATTTAAAAAAACTAAATGTAAAAATTTTGGCGTTTGTCTTTGTTGCTTTGTTTTTTTATCTCATACTGCATAATAATTTTGACCGTAGCAATATTTTTATCGGCATTAGATGAAGTATGAAAATGGAATACTACGGTCGATTATATCCTATACCTCAGGCACATTTTAACATTTTGTAACCAGTAAGGAAAGGTCAAAAGTCGGGCGGAAATACTATATTGTACCCTACACCACTATGTATATCGAAGGTATATAAAAATCGTCAAATCCGGATAAAAATATATATGGGAGCTATATCCAAATCTGAACCGATCTCGATAGAATTTGGCAGAGGTATTTTCAAGCTGTTTTTGATATCCGGTATCAAATATCATTGTACTGGAGTGCCTATTACGCATGCAAGAGGCTTTAACACCAATTCGGCTAAAATATATATTTATGGGAGCTATAGCTATATCTGAACCGATTGGCACCAACATTTGAAGTACTTAATTCTGGGCTGAATTCCGTCGGAAGTGCAAAAATTCAGTCCATTTGGTCTTATATTAGCCATTTGGTGCACAATTAACCTGAAATCGGATAAAGATATATATGGGTGTTATATTTAAATTTTGACCGATTATCCCCAGTTTCAAAAGGGTTCAACCTTGGGTCAAATAATTTATCATCTCGATCGGGCAATTAATGCGAATAAATACTTTGTTTATAAAAATATATGGACATTCGACAATGCATTAATCGACTCAGAAAGTGATTCTATGAAGATCTTTAAAAGAAACTATGGGTCTATCTCGCATCCTTCTCCATGTTACAGACATGGGTATTAAAATGATCACATATCTCATACAAAGTGATGG